GAAGGAAGCCCGCCTGCAGAAGGCTAAGATGTGGGTAGAGAACAAGGGGTGTGTACTCTGATATTTATGGTATTCATGGAAAGCAGGTTCATTCCAGAGAGCAGGCTTGAGGGATGGTTTAGACGTCAACCCAAAAAGTTAAATTAGAAAGAAGCTGAGGGTTATGAGGCAATTTAAAATAATTTAACCTAGAATTCATTCTTCTAAATCTATCGACTCCACTTATGGGACTCCAGCCTAGGAAAACAATTAGACTAGGGGAGGGTAATGGAAGAACTTTAACTCTTTAGTCTACCCGCTTTTATGGAATTCAAAGTTTCTATAATAAGCATGTGTTTTATAGTTTTTAAATAAGAAGATTTACAGTACTGAAAATGGAAAAATCTGAAAACCTCTATACAGAAAATATTCACACCGTATAATAACAAAACACATGAAATGAATTGTCTAGTACTAGGAAAATGAGTAAGAAAATTAGGATATAATTATGTCCTAGGAGCTTCTGCAACAAATAAAGAATGTAATGAAATGTATGCAATAACATGAAAAAAACATCAGTTTAGTGAGGGGGAAGGCCAAAGTGTAATGTAGGCTATGATTATATTATATAAAAATATGTATTTTAAAAACCTACTGAAACATAAACTACACACATCAAAAACCATAACCAGAGTTGTGTTAGCATGCAAAGATTTAGATGGCTTTCTTCTCCACTTTCTAACAGTTTTACAAAAACAGCATGGCTTTATTGCTGCTTTTATTTTTAACAGAAAAGAAAGATGCGTGCCACAAAAGAAAAACAAAAATGATACTATAACAGACAAGCAGTCAGAATGACAAAGGAGGGCTGGCAATGGCAGCCCCGCTGCAGGCTCTACGTGTGGACACTGCAGAGGGACAGCACAGTGGTCCAGGGCACGCGTGCCAATCCTGGCTCATTGGACCTCTCTGGACCAGTTATCTCACACAAAATGAGTGTTTGGGAATAGACAATCTCTAACATGCCTTCCAGGTTTAAAATCATATGATTCACCCTAGCCAGTTTGGCTCAGTGGAGAGAGCATCAGCCTGCGGACTAAAGGGTCCCGGGTTCAATTCCAGTTGAGGACACATGCCCGGGTTGCAGGCTCGATCCCCAGTGTGGGGCGTGCTGGAGGCAGCCAATCAATGATTCTCTTTCATCACTGATGTTTCTCTCTCTTCCTTTCTGAAATCAATAAAAGTATATTTAAAATGAATAACTAAATAAATAATAAATAAAATCGTATAATTCTAAGTTGCAAAAACTAAGGAATCTGAAAACAGACAAGAGAAATTAGGAATTTCTCCAGTTTTCTTACGTAATGTAGAATATAGGTGGAGGAGAAACAGCCTGTATATTAAATTTTAATGCTAACTTCAGACAAAATGATGTGTAAGTACTATATGGACATTAATGAAATATTACATGCCACCGCCAGTTTTAAAAGATGCTTATAAACTGGAAAGAAAATGCATGGCTGTAAAGTTAAAATAACAATATAAAGCAAAAGTGTTTTGGGGAAACCGTGAGGCCACAGGGTTAGATGCCCTATCAGATGCAGCTCATCATTTCCCTGGGAGATGGGAAGGGGAGATGGTGTGGGAGAGAAGCGGTTCACCAGCTAGAGTGCTATGGACATCTATGGCGGGGACAAGACTTGAATTGGGCTTTAAAGAATGGGGACTGGGTTTCTTTTGGGGGCGATGAAAATGTTCATCATAGGTAATGGTGGATGGTTGCACAACCTTGTAAATAAACCAAAATCACTGACATACCATTTTAAAGATTGAATTTTATGATATGTAAATTACATTTCCATTTTTAAAAAGATGTGGTCAGAGGTAACTAATTAGAACAATGTAGAAAAATCCAAAGGTACACTGAGGAGAGTAATGAGGAGAAAGGTGGGTTGGAAACAAATTTCAAAGGACTTAGAACATTAGTGATGAGGAAAATAAGACATTTGGGGTGGAGGTGGGGGTGGGAGGCTAGCAGCCTGATTCTGTATCCCTAATGCACATTCCTGTTAGCTTATAGTCTAGTCACTGCCCCTTCCTTAATTATCTGGTCTTGCAGAACCTGTTTACCTAAATACTCCCATTTACAGAGGCCATAAACCATGAACAATACACAACCCCCAAAGGGGGTTATCAGTGCTGGCGCCAGGCCAGGCCTTTAGGTGTGGTCTCACGGCCCCCATCCCAACACACGGGGCTTTTTGCAAAGCCCATGAAAGGTCCGGAAGTCTGATCCTTATTTGGGGGACAAAGAAACCAAAGGGGATAAAGAGAAAGCTTCCTCCATATTGGTTTACTCAGGATTTGGAGAACTGACCCCCGGAGTCACTGTACTAGTATGTGTGAAACATCTGAAAATAAATGGGTTTTCCTGTATCTCCAGGTACTCCTGCATGGTTTTCACTCGCCTGGTAAATTCTGTAACATTAGGAAAGGGTAACAGACATGATCATCCAATGGAGAGTAAGGGCAGCAAAGACTGACGGACCAGCATGTGAAAGACCCAAGCTTTGAGAATGATGTGTTTCCTCCGCTGGAAAAACAAGCCTCGAGTAAGCAGGGCCCAGGTCCTGTTTGCCTGATAGGTACCCGAGTGTCTCAGGTGAGCTTATGAGTGAATGAGCATCGGAAGGTTACCTGGGTCTGTGTGAAAAGAGAATAAAGAACCACCAAGACTGGGTAACTCTAAGTTTAACATAATAAAAATTAGTGTAGGCCTGAACAATGTGACTGCCCACCACGAACACTGACACACAGGACTGAAAAGATAGAAAGAAGCAAGAGACTTTCCAAGAGTCTCTGCTCTCTATCAATTGTATGAAATATATTTAGTAGGCTTACATGCAAAAATGTTACATAGTTCAGCTCTAGCTATACAAACTAAATTTTACTTGTGTAAAAAGAGAGAGGGAAAGGAAGGGGGAAAATATAAGCAAGATAAGGAGAAGAGAAAGAAATGATGAGGTGAACACTGTCTCTTTAAGAAGCTCCTTGGAGATACATAACTGTAGAAAGCCTGGTGAATACAACATTGATTGGGAATGAGGTAACCACAAACACCGCTGTCTCAAATGAAAAGGGATTCAAGACCTGACCCAGAAAACAAGCATCGTAACCACCAGATAAAATTTTAATGATAAACACAAGATGCTCTACACACAAGCAAGATATGAAGTATCTGATGCGAGGCCATAAACGTAAGGTTCTCTTAGAAAGAGGAGATGTGAGGAGCCTCTCTGACCCACAGATCAAGTTTCATCTTATCGATCCACAAACTGCCATCGCTTTGCTTTGTGCTGTAGAATCTGCAATGTTGAGTGGGCCTCCAGGGAACACAGAGGCAGGAAAAAAGGACTGGCACCGGCCGGCCTTTGTGAGGTCCATGTCCAGATAAGAAAGTCACAATTGGCTTTTGAGATTAAAGTCTCCTTTATTTCTAATTTCTTTTATGACTCTCTCAGTCCAATCTCCACATTCTGTCCTGAAAGGTCTCTGACATTAGGAGACCCCTTCAAGCTAGAATGACAGAAGTCCCTTTCACAGTTAACATGGAACCTAGAATTGGTGGGAGGAAAGGACCTTTTATATGAGGAGCTATTGGGTCCACACTTGAGCAGTGGGGGCAGAAGCCCAAAGCCGCACTGGATGGATGAAGTCTAGATTCCTGGTCCATTAAGCTTTCTAAAATAATCTTATATAGTAAAAGGGTAATATGCAAATTGACCCTAATGGCGGAACGACCAGAACAACCACTAGACCAGTCACTATGAGGCACACTGACCACCTCTTGGTCCCTTTCCCTGGCCGGCAGGCTCCGATCACCTGACTGCGAACGGGGAACCGGGGGTGGGGGTGGAGGGAGGGTCCCACTGTGGGCAGCCAGGGAAGATGGCCCTGATCACAAGCCAGGCCTAGGGACCATACCTGTGCACGAATTTCGTGCTCTGGGCCTCTAGTAATTCTATAGTGCTACTAGAATGTAAACTGTAATGGGGAAAAAAATTTTTAATTGCACTTACAAAAGAATTAAAATAAAATGAAACAAAACTAAAAAAGAAAATAAGGGTTCCTCATAGGCATATCTTGTTTAAAGCAAAAAGACTTTTTCATAGGCATTGCATGCCACAAAATATTAAAATAATCTGACTGCAATTTCAATTCAAGTGCTACTCTTTAAGGAATGCTTCTTAAGGAGAGATTTTTCTTAAAAGAAAAACTTGACTATTACTAAGTTGTCAAGGCCAAGATTTGTTTTTGTTTTCTGGCAGGTAGGCGCCTCTCTTGGGTGGCTCACGCCTAAGCCAATCCAGACTGAGAAGTTTAAATGTCCTGGTTTCTATAGCACTACGTATCCAGTGTGAGAATCTAGTTCAAAATATCTTCATCCGAAAAAGAAAATTGACCTTCTTATTATACATTAACGAAATACATAAACACATCTCTGTAGTAAAATATGAAGAATTCATGAAAGTGGTTTTTAGAACAGAAGCCAAAGGAATCTACAGAAGCTAAAATTAAATTTCTTGGCCACAGAGACAAATAAAAAGCAAATAGGCACTGTGTGGTGGGGAAGGGAGACTGTGTGTGGCCACAGCCCTTCCTCAGTAATAAAAGCTTCAAAACAAGAGCACAAGAGCAGGACCTCTTTGTGCCAACACGTATTAGTCTTGCTTGACTTTTTTATGTCTTCATAAAATACAAACTGTTGGCCTTAATGAAAATCTAACATAACCTGCCACAAGAGTGGTTTTAAAGCTAGGAAAGACATACTGAGACGGATCTGCTCTGCACCATTCTAACTTCAGAGTTCTCCAATCCCGGAGAATGGAGTCCTCCCAACATGGGCCATCTATACGAAAGCACGTGCTCCCCAGGGAGGACAATGTCACTGGGGAGGGGTACATGAAAAACTAAAAGACCTTAGGATACAGAGTGTTAAGTGAAAAACTGTCCTAGCTTACCCAGCAATGACAACACCGTCGTGAGAGTGCACATCACATAAAACAGCATCAGGAATGTGTTCCAGCTCACTCACGGCTCCCTTGCGATTCTGCATAAGGAAAAGGGGGTGCAGGGTACGTTATTCTGTGGATAGCAGAGACAAAGCATGTCGCTTTCACCTACGCTCCCCAGTGACTTTTTACAGCATGTACTGTGTTCAAAGTTATCTGGACATTCAAAAGGACCAAGATGACAGTCAGTATATTAAGCTGTTAGCATTTACAAGTTCATACACATACACACACACACACAATGAACTAGAGGGGGTGTGGGATGTTGCCCCGTCATCCTCAAGGGGATATGAAGGAAATATGTGAGCACAAATAACTATAATCCACAGAAGGCTGAATGTGGCAAGTCTCAAGAAATTATATAAAGTGTATAAAAAAGTTCCATTCCGAGGAGAGAAAGTATTTAAGGATTATTTTACCTGTTAACAACACTTATAAACAATCTGCTAAATAAAATGAAAAAGTATACACAAAGAGAAAAAATCAGAATGGGGAAAAGGAAGAAAGACATTGTTCCTGATTGAGAGGTCAGAGGTTCATGGGAACAGTATTTAAAGGAAACCCTAAGACCCATAACACTGGCTGCTCCTAAGGAAGGAACCAGGTAGTCAGTGAAGAGAGGCGAGAAAAAGATGTATCTTTCACTGTATGTCCCTTTCTGACTTGAATTATTTGTACCATGGCAATCATTATCAATCCAAATATAGACATAATATAATTATTTTAAAAATTAAAAAAAAGGGAATCTAAAGGAATATTTACATGTGCGATGTTGGGAAGAGTAGAATAATTAAGCCAAAAGTAAGCATGAATAAAGGTATTTAAGAACATCCAAGTAACCATAACTTCAGCTTTGCTGGACTGGACCAAGGATAGAAAGAGTGTGTATAAGTGCTAAGCACAGTTGTTAGCATACAGCAAGTGTTCAATAAATGGTAGCTACTCTTATTACTACTCATATTATTAGGAGACAGCTGATGACATTCATTTCATTAAAAACATTTAAGTGGCTATATTCCAGGCACTGTATAAGATAATCTGCATGATGATCTCCCTTGAAGACCAAGTCCAAGGCTGAGCAACAAAACTAGCACATTCAAGTAGAGCTGTCCTGATAGTGGACACATGGGGATGGAAAGGAAGGACCTGAGTCTCTTCTGTGCGAGGGCCATGAACAAAATCACAAGAATAGCAAAGCTCTTTTTAGGGACGAGGTAGTGAAAGAAAAGGAGAGGGCCTAATCAAAACCTGCGTGCTTAGGGCATTTACTAATGTCTGCCATGTGGCTCCCTGCGCCCCCACCCTATGGACTGCAACCTCACACTGGTACTCTGGTCTTAGAGAAATCCTAGAGGCCAGAGTAAGAAGAGTTACTGCAAAAACCAGGAAAAGGAATACTATAGCCACCATAACCAGCTTATCAAATCATTTCTATGATAGCGCTGAATTGCACGTCCAAGTAAGTTCATGCAGTTACTATGTAGAAATATCTAAGAACCTTGGGATCCGTTCTCAGGTTCCCCAGGCACTGACCTAGGAGATACCAAACCAAATCACCTGCTCATCCTGAAGTCAACCACGAAGAGCACCAAACCACAGGCTCTTCATGCAAAGGCCTGTGAGCTTCTCCAGCCAATGCTCACTGAGCACTGGACGTGAGCCACGCTCTGCAGAAGCGTTAGATACATCATTAGACAGTCCTCCTCCCACACCCCTTTTGAGCAGGGCTACTCTGAGCCTCACTTAGAGATAAGAAAACAAAGGCACACAAAGGTAAAGCAACTTGCTCTAACACTGCTTTTCATGTTTTGATAGGGCTTTCTTTCATTCTAGAATCACAATGAGAAGCCCATCACTACAGCTAATATTTATCATTTGACATTTCACTTGTGTAGTCCTCATTGGTAATATTGTCAGAAAAATGGGTCCAAGACACTCCAAAGAGAAGCCTCCCTCAAATGCTGCCTGCAGTTAAGACTCCAGTTCATCCAAACGACAACTATTTATTGAGCACTTACCAAACAGAGGGCTTTGTGCTCGTAAGAGAAAAACAACAGGTAGACGCTCAGTTAAGCTGCATGGAACTTGTACACCGTTACTGAGTGTCAGATGCTATGAGGTGGGTCTTTAGATCTTCACTTCTGCCACCTCTGGCCTGAATGGGAAGCTGTACCTGCCTCACCTCTTGCTTTTTCTAATACAAAGAGAAAACAAAGAACGTAGCTGCTACCTTCTCTCTCAGGGGCTGACACCTCTGAATGGGAGCCAGGCACACTGAATATCTGCAGCTCTCACACTCACAAATCTCAAAAGTATCCCTTCTTCTCACACAGAAAGGCCTTAGTTTTCATTCAATGACAGCGCCTCCTACCAGCGGTAGACCCTCTACTTTCTGCCCGCCCCCACAACCCCCGACTCCTGTCTAAGCAGCTTTGTCTCTCGCGTATGTCCCTCACAGACCTTACTCAAGCACACTGGCAAGAGGACTACGGGTCCCTCCACATGAATTTATTATCTGGTGAGGAAGCAAACCGTGGGCCAGTATGGTTTTTATTTAGCAGTGGTTGTCTTCATGGCCTAAGAAAGGATAGCTATGCTAACTCCCCTTAGAAAGGTGGTTCTCAACCAGGAGCAATTTTGCCTCCTGGGGACATTTGAAGATATTCGAAGACATTTTTGGTTGTCACAGCTGGGAGAGAAAGAGAAATGCTACTGGCATCTACCAGGTAGAGACTACAGGTGCTGGTCAACATCCTACAGTGACAGGACAGCCCTCACCACAAGAACTATCCATCCCAGTGTCACCAGTGCTGGGTGGAGAAACCCTGACTTCGAGAACCACTGCTCTTATTAACTTGGCTAGAAACTGTAGGAGGCTGCCCAGATCAAGAGCATCGGTCACTGATCAGGTTATGAGGTGACTGGCATAACCTGATTGCACACAGGCAATGTCACCATCATAGTGAGCAAAGGCTTGTTAATCTCAGAGTCCATTAGGGTTGACCTTTAAGGGAAAGGAAGGGGAATGGTTCTGTGCCCCCGACACGACTGACTACCCAGCTAGCCAGGTGCGAAGAGCCAACCACCACACTGCTGTCTGGTCGCGCCTCTAGCAGCTTTAGGCAACACTACTCTTGATAGTTATTCCTTCAGAAACGCTTCACTCTGAACATTCTTAGCTGTGATCTAATATTTCTGTAGAGATTTTGAAGTGATAAATGTGATGGAAGTAAGCCAGTAGGTTATGTGAGGGAAGAGAAGACAGTGCTTAGAGTCGTTTAATAATCTCCCTCTGACATTTCCTGAAAATAGCTCCTCTTTTGTATTCAGGTGCTGCCTTTGCTTTCTTGGTCCTTCCAGAGAGATGGTGAAAGTGAAGGGGACTGCACTGAGCACTACACCCAAGACCCTACCCGTCGAGGGAGGTGCCTGGCCTCTCTCTCACCCTTCCTGTCCTGGAAACAACAGGATGCTCCCAAATAGTGTGGCTGGAAACAGAGGCAGAGACGCTAGTGGCGAACAAAATGGGCAACAAGTCACCAACAGCAGAAGAGGCGTTCACCATCATCCTCTCTTATGCTTTTGGCAGTTAACCTCAGGCTGTAATTAGCAGGACTCGGTGATTAATCCTGGGCTTGGATTCCCGAGTCCTTGTAAGCTATTCTTCTACAGGTAATATTGGCCACTGCCTACCTTCCAGTTGCTTCTTAACATGTGCTCCTTGGCTCGGCACTCCTGGAAGATGAGCTTCCAGCAAGAATAATCGGAGATGCTGCTCTCGGGAAGGTGCCCCTCCTGCTGGCACAGCCGGTACCAGAGCACTTCATCTTCTGCAATCACCTTCCACGTCTTGCTCACCTAAAGCAGCAGAAGTGACACAAATGTCAAACCCTGCAATTAGAGAAGCCCCTTGTCATCCAAAAATCAATCAACACCTTTATTATTGCCCTGGGTTTATGGCAGTATAAAATGTCTCATTAACAAAACACTCCGAGGTGGGGGAAAAAAACACAACAACAAGCAAATGTTTCCAGTTTTATCTTTCAAGATTTCAAAATTGTATTGTCATCTAATATCACATTTTAGACTACTTGGTTAAAGTATTATATAAGAGGAAAAATACACAAATACATGAAAGGCAAAAACTACACGCTGTAGCATGTTAATAGATGTACAACCACACACAGTTTTTTAGAACAGAAACGCTTTATTTGTTACCAATAGGCACTTGTATTTCCGCCTTATAGAGCTAGAGACCAATGGCCTCTGAAATGTAAGCAGTAATAAAATAAATATCCATAACTTAAAACTCCTGCTCCTCTGAGAATTTCAAATTTATGTTATGTGTGAAAACTTAGATTTTAAATGTGTACCTTAAGAAATATTTAACAGAAAACTCAAGCTGTTAACCAGGACTGTAAGATCTGATATAGAGAAATTAATGTTATGTCTGGACTGAATTTCAAATCCCAACAGTATCCAGAGGAAATGGCCGTTTTAGCTATTAGTTCTTTGTCTTCCAACCCCAACTGAGGGGAACGATGAATTTATTTCACCACCGGATAATGTACAAAGTGGGGCAGACTGCAAAAGATGAACTCCGCTGGCAAGACGAGAAACGGATCCAGTGGATAACGTGATCTTGGGTCTGCTAGACATTCTGCTTACAGTCCATCTGACTCACTTCTAGTCGAGTAAGAATTGTGACCAGTGGTTTACAGTAACCTGTGCTCCTTAACACTCCCTTAGGGCCACTTCAAGACATCAAATACACAGACAAGAAAGTACACAAGACAGAATGAGGCGAGCACGCAGCCCGTGCATGGCACACCGCACTGCACAAGGCGGCCTCCCTTAATGAAGAACTGGTAGGGAGTTAACTTTTGGAATTGCAGAATAAAGATCTCCAAAAATCTGCTCCTCCATAAAAGCAAGAAGAATGCTGCCAGAAAGTGTCAAAATCAAGTTTTTCATTACTCTAGAAATTAACTGAAGGCTTGCAACATTTTGAGGAGCATTTATTCAGAAAAGTGGCTGAATCTTGGTAAGAAGCGTAACTTCTGTTTTGTTTTACTTTACGCTAATCCCATCCTCCTTCAGCTCCATGGTAGCCGTGAAAACTAACAGCCTTGCAGCCACTGGAAGGGCCAGATGGATTTACAGCTCCTCAAAGGTGCCACCCCAGAGAACTGTCACCATTTGATCTGGCTGGCAGCTGGCTTAAAGCTCTATTCTGAAGGACTGTCTTTTTCTGACCTGATTCAGAGCGCTCTATCCTATCTCCAGGGCATTTGTCAAAAACAATAAGGGACAACTGTTGAACACTGCGGCTGCCTACGGCAGAATTAACACCAGTCATTTACAAACTCTTCCAAAAAACAGAAGAAGGAACAGTTTCCAACTTATTCTAGGAGGCCAGTATTACCCTGACACCAAAACCACACAAACACATCACAAGAAATCTACAAACCAATATTCCTTATGAATATACACAAAAATCTTCAAAAAATACTAGCAAACTGAATCCAGCAATATATGAAAAGGATTATATGCCATGACTAAATGCAATCTCCCCCAGCATGCAAGGTTGGTTTAACACATAAAAATCAATATAATATATCATACTACTAGAATAAAAGACATAAGCCACATGAAATTCTCATAAATTTTTCTTTAAAACTATAAAAATTTAAAAACCAGTAAGGGAGTTCTTTACATTCAGAATGAATCTGCACTGCACCAAAAAAATTCATAGCATGGCAAAGTTCCTTTACATAATAACTTCCCCAAGGAGACATAAAGTGATAGGGATATACTAGTATATGTATATATGTTTGATAACATTTTCAGAAACATGTCTTGATGCCTGCCTCCATTATTCAAGAAGCAGCATGATGTAATAGGAAACTAGTTGCAATTGTGAGGGGAAACCCAGATTCTAGTGCCAGGTCTTTCACTAACTAGCTCTGCTGCAATGAGAAAGTCACATTAGTCTTCCCTGCACCTCTTTCCTCCACTGTAAAACGGCAGAGTGGGGTGGGGGTGGGGGTGTCAGGCCCTAAAATGCCCTTTACAACACTAAATTCTATGACCAGGGGCCTTTATTTCCTCATCTTTAAAATGTGAATAACATACGCCATCACCAAGAGAACCGTTGTGTATCTCAATAAAAGAACTCACAGAAAAGTACTCTATAAATGTAATTCTTTCTACATATGCCGTACACTAGTACAGATCATGACAGAGCACTACAGGACACACACAAATACCTTATTATGAAACTATGCTGCTCCAAATATTATTTTAAATAAGGAAGCCATTAGCTTCCTTATATTTTTATTAAAGAACTTTCATTAGATCTATAATGGGTCTCTACTTGCTCCATGGCAGCAGAAGCTAAAACTTACAAAGTGAAAATTAATCAGAATCCAAGAACTCAGCTTGTTTGCCTCAAAAGTTCTGATTTTCCATCACGAGCAAACTACATTAAAAAGAATCATTATTACAATACCTTATGCAACAAAAGGTATGTCAAAGCAATATTGACCAACAGAGCACTCTGATGGTACCTTAAAGTTCTGGCTTCCTTAATTAGGTTTTTGCAGTACATGAGAGCATGCAAGTTCTAGGTGTGATGGTCACATCACCTAAGTCACGGCATGGACACTTTGCGTGCAATTCACAGTATCAGGTAGCATAAAGAAGTGCAAGGCTTCTGTCATTTTTCTGAACCAAGGTGTCACACTGTAATGCTGAAGGTGTCACACTGGCTCAAGTCTTCAATGGTTTAGAAACTGAAAAAGTACCAGGAGTCTTATGAGATCAACTAGGCACACCCCCCCATCACAGGAAGGCTCCTCACAGCATCCCTGGCCAGCAGAAGGCTTTTGGTGAAGAGCTGACCTCCCCAATCAGTCTGATTCACTGCAAGGCAACTCTATTAAAAAGTACTTCCTTCCATGGTTAGAAAACAGATTCCACCACCCTAGCTGGTTTGCTCAGTGGTTAGAGCATTGGCCCAAGGAGGGTTGCGGATTCGATTCCAGTCAAGAGCATGTACTTCAGTTGCAGGCTCGATCCCAGGCCCCGGTTGGGGTACATGTGGGAGGCAACCAATCGATGTGTTTCTCTCACATCACTGTTCTCTCTCTCTTCCCCTCTCTTCCACTCTCTCTAAAAATCAATAGAAAAAAAAAATACTCAGTTGAGGATTAACTAAAAAGAAAACAGATTCTACCTATGGCCCTGATTTTTGCCCTTTTGAGAAAATAAATCTATTCCCTCTTCCACGTGACAGTTCTTCAAATGGCTGAAGACACCCAACGCATTTCCCCTTAGTCGTTTCTTCTTTGGTCTAAATACTACCCGTTTCCTCCAAATAATTATCATACCACTAGTTCTCATACCCATATTTCTGAATATTTCTGCATCTACTTACAGTGCCCCTCTTCAAATGTGGTACTCAGGGCTCAACTATACCCCACATATCGACTGTCAAGTGCCATGAACAAAAGGATTATATCAAATTTGCTACTTCATCTGTAGCTATCATCATCCTGGCTATGGAACTAATGATCCACCAAATCTTCTGGAGTCTGTTGTATTAAATATTGAAGGCAAACAAAAAAGTATAAAGAATATTACAAATACCCATGGACTCACCACCCCATTTAAATAAAATATTACTAATAAGTTTAAAACTCCTATGCATCTCTCAGTGTTTACATCCTCTTCCCTCCAATCTTAATCTCAACTTGGTGTTTATCATTCTTCGGTCTTTTATTTTTTAAATATATTTTTATTGATTTCAGAGAAGAAGGTAGAGGGAGAACTAAGATAGAAACATCAATGATGAAAGAGAATCATTGATCGGCTGCCTCCTGCACACACACCCTTGGGGATCAAGCCCACAACCTGGGCATGTGCCCTTGACCAGAATCGAACCTGGAAACCTTCAATCCACAGGCCGACACTCTATCCACTGAGCCAAACTGGCCAGGGCCTTCAGAGTCTTTTAAAATACAAATTGCAGTTAAAGAAAAATGTCCACATATCTTACTTCCACAATATTTATTTTATTTTGTCAATCCTCACCTGAGGATATTTTTCCATTGATTTTTAGAGAGTAGAAGGGAAGGGGAAAGACAGAGAAACATCGACGTGAGAGACACACATTGACTGGTTGCTTCCCACACACATCCTGACCGGGGCTGGGATTGAGCTTGCAACCCAGGTACATGCCCTTGACCAGAATCAAATCCGGACTCATCAGTCCACAGGCTGACACTCTATCCACTGAGCCAAACAGGCTAGAACTCCACAATATTTTTAAGTGTAAATTATTAGCTTAATAAACTTTCTACCCATTTTAAATCTCAGCTCATTGCACACAAACCTCCACCCAGTATTTATATCATCTTTGCATCTCAATTCTGTCATCCTCTGCATTAGCTACTTCTCCCATACATAGATCATCTGCAAAATATGGTGTGTGGGACTTCATGTCTTAATTATTTAAAAAAAAACAACAAAAAAAGTTAACCAGGATGGGACTGAGGACAGAGCCTGTGGCAAACCACTGTAGCACTCCCCCCAAGCAGACATGGATCCATTAAGCAGCCCACCCTGGGCCTGGCCACAGCATCAGTTACAAATCCACTTAACCACACTGTCATCCCACACTTCTCCATCCTCGCCATAACGGCGTCAGGGAAACAAACCCTCATCTGATCACAAGTGATCAGGCAATAAAGAACAGGATAATGAGTCAATAACACTGGAGTTCCAGTTTTCACTAGACAGAACACGGCGGTTTTATTTTTGGCATGTCTGGTCCACAGCTGAGCCTATCCATGAAC